GATGAGTCATTCMCAACACATCTGAGTGACAACTTGTGATATTGCATGACATTGCTCATAAATATATTTCCAAGGTTWAAATAGAGCAGCTACAACTCACRWAGCAAAATTTGTCTGGCCTARTTCTGGGGCACACAATGCCCTGAYACTCTGCCCAGATACCACAAAGAATAGCGTCTCTTAGRTGGCCCAGATGCAGTTTGCCAGAGGTGGTCCATGCATGGGTCAGCACCACATACCATAAAACCAAAATACAACCAGTCCAGATGTGGCAATGGCACATTTGGACCACATAAACCAAACCTCAATTTGTGGAACGTCATCATACTGTTTAAACTTTAAACAGTGCCATTGTTGCCAGGCCCATGTGTGGTTGACAAGCCACTTGCCATGCTAGCAGTCAGGCAGCAATGCTAGMTTGACACCAGATCTGGTCCACACCTGTCTGCTATATAGGAAGTCTGTCATTTTGCAAAATAAGATGATTTTTAGTCYAAAACTCTGGCATGAGAGGCAATGGGCGATATGCATTCTTTCAAGGAACTTTTAATGTGCTTCACCTTAAGTAAAGAGATGATTATAACCTATAATCAGTACTTCAAAGGGATTTATGTTTATTGCTTTCTTACAATGGCTTATCTTCTATTTAATCCTCGTGAAGAGTGATATGATTGAAAATTTTCTGCCATTTCAAATACCTCACAAAACTTTACCTGCTACAGTGATTCATTTTGTTATTCCAGGGAACATTTGTGTATCTGAAAGTGGACCAGCTACTGGCAAAGTGTCCTTTTACTCCTTACTCTCAGCGGCAATCTGTGTGAACAAAGTGTCGGCTTATATGAACTGACATTTGGTCAGTGCCCCCCACCCTTTTTCAGATACACTCCCTTCCCTGAAAAGTTCAAATAGTCAGAAAGAATGTGGGAGCTGGAAGATGGGAGCTGTTGTGCGCAGGCAGGCATCTAAGCCTGCATGTGGTTTCACTGGGCCTGCTGCCAAAAAAACAAGGGGCAGGTTATTTTTTGGAGGGGGGTTGAAGGGTCACTTTGCTCCAGAGTGGGAAAGTTCTGCTTTTCATTACATCAACGAATAGGTCCACTTATCTGCCCCTCCTCCTGGACTCAACTCTTTTGCCTGAAATTGTTTTGTCATTCAGTGATTCAATATGTCTCCCTCTAAGTCTAGATACATGTGTGTGTGAGGGTGGCTCATTAAAGAGGGTAATAACTCTGCAAGGTTCGAACAAAATTAGACATGCCAGAGTTACATTCTTTAAACATGGAGTACATTTTAACACACTTTAATGGCTTTCCAGAGGGTGACAAGCAACAGAAAGACAGTGAAAAGGCAGAAAAAGAAATCTGCAAAACTATTAAAATTCATTTTGGTTATGGTCTTTTTTTCTGTGTATGGTAAAAAAAAACAAACTAGCTATTAATGAAGTGGCTGTAACTGGTGGGTTGTCGGTTCAATACCCCATTCCAGCTGTCACAGTCATTGTGTCCTTCAGCAAGACATTTCACCACCTTACCTACAGGTGGTGGTCGGGGGTCCAGTGGCACTGGTGCATGGCAGTGTGCTCCAGGGTAGCTGTGGCTACATTGTAGCTTACCACCACCAAGCATCTTTGAGTGTCCTAAAAAGAGCTATATAAGTTTGATAAGTTTAAAACAAATTAAAATGTTATTGAATCTCTCAGAAAGTAAAATTTATTCACATTTACATTTTCRTTTAGTTTTGGACTCAACATAAGATGGCTAGCTTGAGTAATCAAGCCAGCATAAAAGTTTGCCAATGCAGTTTTCCAAATTTTGTATTATATTTGCAGTGTTGTAGTAGGCTACCTCATTGTGATACTTAAGCAGAAGTACAAGTATCTTACCATAAAATTACTTTKATAAAAGTTAAAGTGTCCTCTAAGAATATTACTTGAGTAAAACATATCTTAATGTTGAATATTGTAGGATACACAATAGGCTTCTTGCTTCAGCTCCATATGTATATTTCTGCCACGGTCAACTAACTACGCACATCTGCTTAGTTGAAGTGTGGTTTGTGTTATGAGCAGACTGTGTACAAACCAGTAGGATGTCTGAATGTATTTATATTTCTTATCCAAGCACATTTAAACTCACTCTATCTGGGAAGTGCCMTATATCTGGATAGCTTTTTATTTATAGGCAGTATAGCAGAATAGGCAAATGCTAAAGGTGCCATCTATCTAAGCACTGCCACGAATGGGGGATGAAAAAAATAAACTTTATAACTTTTTATCGGAGTATACAGTATATCTGATGTTTTCAAAGTGACTGCAGTGTGAACGCTCAAGTCACATTCCATCGACTTTTTCATCAGTGAGGAGGGGGTGAAGGATCGATAAGACACTAACCTCAAGTCTCGCTGTTTAAATCTGCAGCTCCATGTGTTTACAGCTCCAAAACACAAGTCCAGTTGCTTCATCTTTTTACTTTTAATTTTCCACGTAGATAGTATGATAATAACGATGTCCAGCATGGGTCGCGGAGAGTATCGATCCTAAAGTTAGCTACTCGGTCGATACTTTTTTCCAGCTCGTAGTTTCGTTCAAAAATAAAAGCTTCACTGGAGCATCCCCGTCAGAGGCAGGTTCAGATACAGTATAAACACTGAACTGAAGAAGCATGTCAGATAATTATTTAATCGGCTCTGATTAAACAACAACTTCCGATTCAATGTGCAAAATGTAGCATCCATGCTAGCTCTGTAAACAAACAAGCCGGCTGATGAGACGTCACATCTTTTACTGCGCATGCGTGTCACATCAGTGCTGTGTAGCRTTCACACAGGGGTCTGATGCAGGTCACATTTAAAATGYAATGTGAACGTTCACACAAAAAGATCGGATTTTTTCAAAAAATCTGAACTGAGCATTAAGACCTGCAGTGTGAACGTAGCCTTTGTTGCATAGAGTTAATTACCCATAGCAGCTATCTAGAGGCCTAGATGCAGAGTTGTAAAGTACCAAAATACAAATACTTCTGTAYTTTACAAGTACAAGTTTTTTGTTATTTACTTGAATAATTATTTTTCATCTGATTTTCTTCTTCATACTTTTACATTTAAAAGAATGTAGTAAGTCCAGCGCCGGCCCTAGCCAATTTGGCGCCCTGTAGGCAAGATTTGAGGTGGCACCCCTTCAATTTTCTAAAACACACTGCCAATTTCCATACATTCACACACCAAAATAAACAGTTTTGTTATTGATATTATTATTTTATCTTTAGAAATCAATTTGTCTAATTAAAACAGTGAACAATATAATTCATTTTAAACAGAACAAAAAAGTCTACCTCATACCTGTGACATCTGCTGACAGTAATGAGGAACACCTGTTCATGTTAACGAGCAGAGCTAGACTGAAGCAGTTCTGGGGGGGTCCAGTGGTAAAAGATCTACTCAAAATTATGCATTTTCCAGCCATTTGAAGAGCATTTTATTATTTTTTATTAATAAAACAACAAGAAAATCTGTATTTTATGAAGGTAGAATGCTGAAAATCAGACTTTAACCTGAACTTTATCTGAGCTCATAACTGAAACCTCCATTATCCTTRTTTTGTTTTCTATTTACACACTGAGCACCAATAGCTTTGACTGCATCATATAATACTTTTATCATTAAATATCCTCTGCATCATAAACACCTCATGTTGTAACAAAGCAGGCTGAGAAACCCACAGAAGTCACCTTAATAAATGAGCAACCTGTGACTGTTCTACAGACTAAATCAACTACACTCACCGGCCACTTTATTAGGTACACCTGTCCAACTGCTCGTTAACACTTAATTTCTAATCAGCCAATCACATGGCGGCAACTCAGTGCATTTAGG